TCACAGCCTGTGCAGTTTCATCTACAGAGATAGTAATATCCGTACCCTTCTGCTCTAAAGGCGAGTCTTCTGCTGTTGCGCGGGGTTAAGCAGTTCCTCAAAGTACTCCCTCCATCGCCGAAGAATGTGATCATTCTTGGTAAGGGGGTGTCCAGATCTGTCTTTCAAGACTCTGAGACTGTCCGTCTTTTCACCTCGGAGCCGGCGGGTGGTCTGGCAGAATACTTTGTTTGCCGTGTGGAAATTCGACTCCAACACCTAATCGAACACTCCCCAGGAATCAGGTTTGACTTTTGCTACTGCTATGGCTGCCGCCTTGCACCTTGACATATGGCACGAGTGTAGATGGCTCCTTGTTTCCAAACCATTTCTTGAACGCTGCGTTTTTCTCTTTAACTGCCAGTTGTACCTCTCGTGTCCACCATGAAGATGTTTTCTGACCTCCAGGAGGCAGGTCATCCCATTTAAATCCGCAGCATTCGGCGGCAGCCTCGAGTATGCTCCTGTTAAAGAGCTGCCACTCAGTCGATTTCCACATCAGTGGTCATGATAAGGATCTGTTCAGACCATTCTGCAATTTTCTTTGCAAATTTCATTCTCGTGTCCATCGGTGATAGTGATTCCCATTTGATTCTCTGGTTGCTTCTGCCGCCTGATCTTCGTATGGTATTCTACTTCGTACAGCACAGCATGCCAACAACAAGGTGATGATCGGTTGATAGCTCTGCGCCTCTCTTAACACGAATATCCATTACTGAGCGTTTTGAGTCAGACGATACGATTGTAAAGTCGATAATAGACTTCTGTGCACAAGCTTCCCCGTACCCGGTGTACTGTGCGGTATTCGATGAACGATAAAGGTGTTCATACTGGACAGTCCGTTGTTTGCACATAACAGCAGCAACTTCAAGCTGTTATTGCTGAGTTCGCTATATCCGTTTTTTTCAATCACGCCATTCCGCTTTTCAGCATCTGCTCTGACAGAGCTAAAATCATCACTAAATTTAGCCATGTGTATGACGAACTCTGTATTCGGCGTTTCATGCAAAGCACGCTATACTTCATGAAGTAAGATATCGTATCCTTTCTCCAAATTGGGTGCATCAACCGATATCAACGGTTTAGTCTGTTGTAGCTTCCGTCGGACGATTACCACCGTTCCGCTGACAGACTTCCAGTCAATTAGTCTATCGTCAGGTTGTGTTGTACGAGAACTCCAACACTGGCTTGAGCCCGCGTCGTGATATCGACACCTGAGTATAATAGCTTCCACCGGCAGGGGTTCAGAATTGCAGGGCCTTGACGCTTGGTTGACGAGAGTCCATCTCTGTCAAGTTGTTACCTTATGGTGCCATCAATCAGCTCTTGCTTTTTCCTGTGAGTGAGGAGACATACCAATTTCAGACTGTAAGCTCCCACTCCTCCTGGAGTCTTTTCTGGCGTGCTATTATGGTCTCGTCTGTTCAGAACGGGTAGCGTCTGCGTTGCTGATTTGTATCTTCGATGTCGGTCCTCGTCAGCGACTGTTATTCTGCTGCGCTCCCCGCTGGCAAAAGACAGTGAGCAAGTTCTAATCTCGGACTTTTCGTGGCCTGCCTCAGTTTCCCGACAGGCTGCATTATTTTTGGCAACCTGGGTGACGACCGAGGCGGAATAATTTTCGACGAGGACAACACCAGAAATGGCAGATGGTCAATTTTTACGCAGATTTCGCCACGGTCTCCAACCATCCCTTTTCTGAACCGAACATGGGTCCGGCAACGGAATAGTTTCTTCGCCAACGTTCAGAGACTGAAGCAAGATCAGGAGGGTTTAAAACGTTGTCATCCGTGATCTGAAAGGATATGGGGCGATGGAGAATGAATGATTTCACTTCACTTTGTATGACTGCTGCTACCTTTGGAGTGAGACGCGTCAGACAGTGCCTCTAACGTTTCCAATCCTGAGCCAAAATGTGAAAATGGGCAGAAAAATGTAGTTGAAAGACGACTCATTCAATGCATTTACATCAGGTTAATCTTAGCCATTCCCTTAGTCTTCTGCGGATTAAATGGGCAACTAGTAATTACTACGCTTTCCTTTCTGGAGGCATTCGGAGCATATGCCAAAACTGTTGGAGGTTTGAATTCTCAATCTGAAGATGCAGCGGCTACACACATTCTTTCAAGCTTCTATACTCCAAACCATGTCAAAATGCGCTAGGCCAGCGATTCATCTCAGAAAGCCCATTTCAGGCGAAATCTTTTCTGACATGGTCCACGGCTGATGACCGCAGATGAGCATGGAATAATGATCGACTTGAACACGGAGATCTTATCTCGTTTGTTGATCTCCTGCAGCCGTTATTACACTGCTACGCTTATGGCTGCCAGAAATCGGTGATCAAGTTCTGATCGCCGACTTTGAGCAGCCTGACTCAGCCATCCTCCCTCCTCAAGCCCAGAGCCTGCGATGCCCTTGGTTACGACCGAGCCGGCATCATATTCTATGGTGGCAATACCAGGAGGCGCAGTTGACTAAGTTTTACGAAAACCTCGCCACGATCTTCAACCCTTCTTTTCATCCGGTCTTGGCAACGGCCATTTCGGAATCATTTTCCGAATTACGGTATTTGAAAGTAGCAGACGTGTAGGTTGTGAAAAGTGAAAAGGTTCATTTCAAATTGTTATACAGTTTGTCAATTGCTGGATTATCGGTGACGTGGTGCTCTTAGGTTGTTGTATATGTTTCCTTCGTTGTAATATTGTGTTATATTATATCATTCGCATCTGTTCATTGATCGCAGTGACTTGCATCAAGATTTTTATTGGTGTTATGTAGTTTTTCCCGCGGGTGCGGAATGGGATACGTTGTAGGAATTGCTATCTTCGTGATATTGGGGGGGGGGGGTTTCACGTTCATGGACCGAGTACCCACATAAATGATGCATATGTCTGATGCACTTTTGTCAGCCTCTGGGCTATCTGCTGTTTCCTTGCATGGCGCTTTTTGAGCCGAGTGAATGTCGGTGGCAGTGATCTTAGAACAACCTGCCTGATTAACATCGTTTTCTGTTCCATTATTCTGTTTAGTTTGCTTTGTGCTTACGATTGGAAAGTTTGCTGATGGTTTCTGATGAGATATATTTAGGAGTGTTTGGCTTAGGCGCTAATCCGGTCTGCAGTACAAGGAGCAGTTTTGGATTCTGATCGTGAAAAGTTTCGATAGCAAGAATTCAGATAAGCAGTTGGTAAGACAAGTATGTAGTTTATTCCTTTCGTAGTAATCACTTCAATGAATAGCGGTTTTTAGTCATTTGTGCATTATTTTAGCGAATACTCAGTTGATCAAAGTACTTAGAAAACAAGGGCAGCGTGTGTACAGCTTCACTGTTGACTGCTACGGTCCATTTATTGTTCTTGCAGAGTTGTAATCATAGTTTACTAATAGCTGAAACGGAGCAGGCCTATGTAATTTTCAGTCTCTTGATGCAGCTGGTTTTCTGGAAACAGTCAGTGCCCGAGGCCTGTTTGGACAACACGTACATGAAAACGTATTTATAAGAGACTTTTAGCCTGTCGCTTCTAATTGCCGGTTACATGAAACTATTCCATGTAAATGAAGAGTTTCTTGTGATAGGCTTTGTGCGACAGGTATGAGTATCAGTATTAGTAAAACGCCATATTTATAGTTTGTTGGTTATTAATTTGCAGATATATAACCACAGTTTTTCTAGGCGATCAACGCGATGAACTTTAATCAGTACAGTCGAAGGTATTTC